ACATTCAGAAGTCAGTGCTACTCGTAATACAAAGTGAATAGAAGATTTAAATCCCCGACTTTAAAATGTGAAATTACTTCATTCATTTTAGTTCCTTTGTGTTTTTAATAAAAGTTATTTTTTCCCTTTTGAGTGGACTAAGGAAAGTTAGAACCTCACGGTCGTATAAATAGTAACAATGAAAACTTCATTTCCTATTTTTCCACGCTTAGGTGTGGAATTGTCGCCAAAATGATATGATATGATAACGCACCATAAATATAAAACTTAAAAGAATCAAAAAATCGCAACTGACGAACATATTACATAACATACATACAACAAAAAAAAAGTGAAATTAAGAACTACACCCTTTTTGAAGGCGGCTAAAAATTCGTATAACGGAGGGGAGGTACTTTAATGCTGGCCATTTGAGGGAGCTTAGGGTCATTCACCATGCTATGGACATATGAGTAAAGAAACCGTATTCTTTACTTATGTGCTATGGGAGATGGTTATGCTAAGAGTTTCTTACATACAAATATATACACACAATACATACAAAGAGTATTAAATACAAATTCAAGATATTTTTTTAAAGTTTACGACGATTTAATTATAATATATATGTGCCATTTTGTTAGATAACTTATTGCCATCTTACAGGTAGTGAACCAACTTTGTATTACTCTAATTGACACTGAATTAGGTCCATAAAAGTTACAATTTTTTTTAACGTCTTGAGTCGCATTTTTACCTTTTTTGTAATAAAACTTCAGCATGTATCGAATCTCTTCGTCAGATTTACTCAATTTGGCGGACAGAAAAACAATTGAAAATTGGCAGGAAAGTGTTTGTTACTTTTTATTTTTCTTTTTCATAATAACGTATATGTATTAATATTAATTAATTAAACTCGCCAGGTACAAACAGTACAACTAAAGAGATTTTTTATTCAATTCATACAAACCAGGAAATGGGCAGCAACACCTTCTTGATAACAGCCCAATGTAATAAAAAAAACTGCGATTGCTAGCCTGCTAGCCAAACGTAGCAACTATGGCAAATCGCCCAATGAGGCAAACTTTGGGGGAAGCATATGTTCAGCAGTGGACTCATAGGCTGTATAGGAAATGGATGGATGGACAGTTGCATCGTAACCCATAAATGCATGGTGTGTTACACTGCTTCTCTTTTTCTTCAAATTAGAATACAGCAATTAATACATGCACGCAATAAGCTGACATGGCAGTGCAAATCAGCTCTACCACGAAATAGAAATGTAAATAATATCGGGATATTAGGCATGCCAATATTAAATATCTTTAACATTATGATTTCTTATATTAACGCGAACACTACACATTGAATAAGACTACTTTTACGGATTCTATCGCGTTTGTTTGAATTGTTTCGGGTACGACGATACGAAACGTTGGGAATCATAAAAACAATTCAATAAAACGCAATAAATCCGTAAAAGTAGTTTTATTACAATGTGTAGTGTTCGCGTAATTATAAGAAATATTTATGTTAACCAGTCGATCTCTAAATTTCTTAAATAGATACAGAGACCATAATCTCCTTCCTACGTGTGTCAAGATATATACTAAAATACATTCGAAGAAGCGCTAAGATCTTAAATCAGGCAAGCAAAAAGTTGTTAATAACAGTGATTCAACAAAAATGTACCGATCTATGTTTCATAAATGAAACCATAGACAAACTACAACTAATACGCTTAAAACAACTAGCGATCTAATTAAAAAATGCTCCGATAAATTTAATCTAGACGTTAAATAGATAATACCTGCGTGTGCCAAACCACCGAAGTTGCATTGGTTCCCTAAAATACACTAACTGAACGTTCCATAACGTCCAGTATTGAGTCAGATCGATTCGCCAACTTACATATTGGCTCAACATTTAGAAAAAATACTATCAACACTCAGAGGAAATACAAGAGCACACACTAAGTATTCATACCATTTTGTCAGTGAGATGAAAGACCTATGTCTTACTGACAATAAAACCATGGTCAGTTTTGATGTTCAGTCTCTATTTACATGCTTACCTGTTGAAGACTGCATCTCAATTGTAACTAGGAAACTAGAGGAAAACAACATGCTAGTAGAATATGCAGTATTATTACCTGAGTAGTGTCTGAACATTGCTTTACATCTGGCTATCTATTGTGGAAGGAAGAGTTTTACAAGCAAGTAGATGGTGTTGCAATGGGCTCATTGGTATCTCCCATTGTCTCCGATATTTTCATGGAGGACTTTGCGGAGAAAGCTCAGCCTGATGCGCTTGTAACTTCAAGGTTCTACAACCGGTAAGTAGACGATACTTTTACAATTTTAACTTCAGACATAATAACTGCATTTTTATAACATCTTTATTCCATAAACTCTAAAATTCAATTTACTATGGAGCTATAGACAAATAATTCTTTAGCTTTCCTAGATGTGTTAGTCATTCGAATCCTAACCACACCATAGTTCATACCTTATCTAGAAAAAATACTCATACGAACCGATATTTAAGCGGTGAATCGCATCATCATCCTTTACAGCTAGCTACTGTGCAGGCAAATCTTTGTTACAGAGAGTAAGAGGGACCTTTATTACGTGGTAGAGCCCTACAGACATATTTTAGGTATAGTTTTAACACGAATGGGTCGGCTCGACCGGGGAAGGACCACGCTCTCACAGAATACCAGCGTAAAATAGCAGCTTAATGCTGCTGTGTTTCGTATGGTGAGTGTAGATAACCGGAGATCCTTTTTACTGGAAACGAGGCAATCCATCTTAGTCCTCACGGGTGACAACGCATCTGCATTTTGATTCATAATCGAGGATATATGTAGATGTCTATGGGCCACAGCAACCACTTACCATCAGGTGGACTGTGTGCTCGTTTGTCACCCTTATCCTATAAAAAAAACGAGGGATCTGTGACAGCAAACACTTGGCCGCCGAGCTTCAGCACGTCAACCAGGTTCTGCACGACAACAAGCTTCGGGTCCCGCGCCTACGTCACAGTGTTCGAGTGAAGCCGGCCACAGTCGAGCCATACCATATGTCAGAGGTGTCGCAGACAAGATTGGCTACATCTTGAAGCGAGCTTCCATTAGAACATTCTTCAAGGCGCCGAAGAAGATTAGTCAGTTCCTACCATCCGTCAAGTACAATATTGCTCTACAAGATGCAGGAGTGTTTAAGCTTGATTGTGAATGTGGTGTCTATAAGGCATCAAAGCGTTCTATTAAAACCCGCGTAAAAAAACACATAGCTGACGTTTTTATAGATCGTTTTGTTTGCCCTATATATGAGAGACCACACACGTTCCGGGAAGTCTGCAGTTTGTGATCATATCCTAGACGGCTCCCGCCATTACATTAGATTTGATAAACCACAAATTCTCGCGAAACAACATCGATTCCTGCCAAAGATGATATGTAAGGCTATTAAATTAAAAAAAAAACATCCTCATTTCTCTTCAAATAGAGAGGGAGGCTGGGTACTACCAACTGCTTAGGTTACTGTAATTAATAAAATTAAAACTAAACTCCAGCTATATGCATTCGTAATTATTTATCAGAGTGTGAAAACCTATATAGGCATCGGTGGCTGCGACCACTACAAATGGCGAAATTAACCAGTACGTATAATAATAATAATACCTTCCAGACCAAGATTTACTTGATCGCGCGGCCGGACATTTGAGTGGCCGCAGGACCAACGTGATGAACAAAGTAATTAATACGCGGTAGAGTTACGCTATAGCTATATTATGGTTGTAGTGAACGACAAATTAATGGCTGTCTGTTAGTCTCACTAAAAATCAAAAATGGCTCTACCAATTTTCATGTTTTTTTTTTCAAGTTTAGTAGGTGAGCTACTATCGAGATCCAGAAATCACTCGTACGAAGCCGGCGCAGATCGCTAGTTAATTTATAAAAATCTTTACTTTCTTAACAAGTTGCAAAGGTTCTAATTATAATGATTGAAGCCTCCGTTTAGGCAAAAAAATGCTTCTGCTGGACTATCCGATAAGTATAAATGAATAAAGGTTATAAAAATCACGTGAGTAACGCACGTAGCGCGTGCGTTCCTATGTGTGTGTGTGTGTGTGTGTGTGTGCTACTTTCATTTTATTTCATCTCATATTCTAATGAATTTCTGTTTTACCCACTCAATTAACAGCCACTTAATTAAGATTCAGATAAAATAAGACAGAAATAATTAGTCATAAATTTTACGCTTTAAAACAGAAACGTAAAATAAAGAATTTCAAATAAAATGACAAGGAGCAGCTCGGGTGTTGCTTGGTAAAGTTACCGATGAGCGTACTTGAGTCTTACTCCAATTTCATCTTATACTGAGCACTGGCTTCCTAGTTACAGTTCGAGAGCGGTGAAGTTTCCGTACGGAAGTTAGACACTTCAGCACTGAAGTTACACTGTTGAGTAAGTTATTTATTAGTTAAGTTTTAGGTTTAATGCATTATTTTTACTTTAATGTTACTGTTATTGATAAAAATTAATCGAGATGTCAATCTGTTAACATCATATGGGGGTTCTTGTACAATTTAAAAAAAATATATTATAAGGATGTTTTGTAAGTGATAGAACCACGCTGCAGCGATATTATGGTTGTAGTATGAATGGTTCGGCTCGAATTGTGAAAGACCATGCTTTCACTGAAAACCAGCGTTAAATTGTGATTGTAAAGAACTGGAGAACATTTATACTGACAACGAGGCATTCCATGTTAGTCCTCGGGGGCGATAATGCCCTCTGCATTTTGATTCTTATCCCTATATATTTATATCAGGGGTGGTCAACTTGATTGGACCCAAGATCTCTTGTTTACTAACGAGACCGTGTGCGATCTACCACTTCTAGAAATTTTAAATGAAACAGCATAGTTCAGTTCACAATCATGTAGCATTTTTTTATTAAGAGAAAAAACATAAATGTGAAAATCATACTTAGTAACTGCTTATTTACATATATATTAGTGTGAGCATTGCGTCTGAGTATCTTCCACTTGTTTAGCATAATCAGGTTTGTAGTTGGAGATTGCCAACCTTAAAGAATCCAATGTATGAGCGTCTGTCAAGCGAGAACGGTGTTTACTTTTTGTTTGCTTTAAGTAGGAAAATGCTGATTCACATAAATATGTTGAACCAAAACACGAATGAAGTTGTTCAACACAATTCTTCAAATTTGGATATTTTTCTTTGGAAACCAATGCCCAGAAATCTTGACCTGAGGATGACCTTGCTTTAAGAAATATGTCGCAGCGCAGAGTAATAATTTCGTTTTGTAACATCATGTGCTCCATTTGAAATGTATCTGCAAATTTTGTAGCCAATTCATAGATATCACTATGATCAATGGAATCATTGAACGGATAACTGATGAATTGAACCAAGTTCTCAATTTTTCTGCAATCACCAAAGCGAATTTCGAAGTCTGCTACCACTGCCCTAATTTCTGTCATATATTTCTTGGAAATGAAATTGTAGTTAGGATGTTTTTCCATATGATCCTTGATGTTAACAAATTGTTCAAATTTTTTCTTCTCTATGTCAACTATCATAGACGCTGTTTGACATTGAAACGCTGCAATGGAACTCATCATTTCTGTTAATGTTTTATTCTTGTCTTGTAGATTCAGATTTAATGTACTCAGTTTTCCAGTAAAATCTGCCAAAAAAGCTAAATCACATTGCCAGTCTAAATCACGCAATTGCTGATAATCATCACCCCTTTCATCAAGAAATTTTATTATTTCGTCCAATAGATCTTGAAATCTTTGCAAAAACTTGCCTCGACTCAACCACCTCACGTCAGTGTGCATTTCCAATTCTGGTTCCTTCTCATCTAATTGATTTTCCCTTTATGGAATTTACAATCTTAAAAGAAATATCCATCACATGTTTCGTGTTTAATCTCTTACTAGCCAGTACTTATTAATGAATTATGCAGTGGTAGCTAATGAAGTCTGGAAAATCTTCGTCTTTGTGACAATGAGCAATAAAACCATTATGAATACCTGTCATTACAGGAGCTCCATCAGTTGTCATTGATACGAGTTTATACATGCATAGCTTAATCTGGCAAATATATGCTTTGAATTCCGTGAATATAGCAAGGCCACGAGTTTTTCCTTTTAAGGAAATCATACCTAGCAGTTCTTCTTTGGTCGAGAAATCTTCGAAGACCATCCGAATAAAAACAAGTAATTGTGCAGTATCAGTGACATCTGTTGACTCGTCAAACTGAAGCGAAAAAGCAACGCAGAGGGCGATATCTTTTTGTAGTTGTTCGTTTAAGTTTTTACTTATTATTTCTATACGGCGTATTACAGTATTTCGCGACAGCTGTAATCCATAAACAGCTTTTTTAATTTCGTTTTTATTTTTGAAATTCACGAACAGCGAATCTGACACTTCTTCGAAGATTTCTTTGATGTATTCTCCATCGGAAAAAGGTTTGCACTTTTGTGCAATTCTGTAGCTTACTTGGAAAGAAGCTTCAGTTGCAGCTTTACTTTGCTCAATAGGCCCAGAAAACATGTTTTCTTGGACTTTTAATTGCGATTTCAGTGCTTGCAATTTACTCTTTCTTATTTCGCTGTTAGGTGGAAAGTTAGTCTGATATTTACTATGCATTGTGTTAAAATGTCGCTCTAAATTTCCTTTTTTGGCCAATGCCAGGGATGTATTGCATATTAGGCAGCAACGGTTTTCTTTCACCATAGTAAAGAAGTAGTCCAATTCCCATTCTTGGTGAAAATGACAAGTTATTGATTTCTTTGGAGCACATTTATCAAGAATCTGTAAAAAATGAAAATAAAATATTAGGAACATAATTTGTATAATAACAAATGTAGAAATACATTTTAATGGGAATAAATTTCGTAACGATGGCACAAAGTTAAAGAGTGAACAATATTTTCTAGTTTTTTACCCACTTACTAGGTGGATAATTCGTTTAATCCACCGAGTACCTATCTAAAATAATAAGGCACTGATTTAAAGAGGCAGTTGTAAATTCGTGATTCTTGTAGTGAGGAAAATTATTGAGAGGTCCGTTTGCACTAATAACAATATTAAAAATATTAACTTACTTTATTAGATGAACCTTCAGAAGCATTTCTTTCTTCATTTGATGTTCCTTCAGCGCTTATTTTCAATCACTTATCCATAATGTACGTAAACAAATTATGATGCGTGCCAAATACAAAGTCTAATCGTGATTTACATCGACAATCGTTGAAACGACGTAACCCCGGTAGTCTCTGTCGTCAACTGTCAACTGACTGACTGAGATGATGCGTCCAGCAATAGGTGATTACATTGGGCAGTCTGGTCTACGTATTTATATTTTTTGCCTTGCCACGATCGACTGGACTAACAGTCGCGATCGACCGGTCGATCGCGATCGACCGGTTGGCCACCCTTGATTTATATGGTTGTCTTTTTTCAATTTTGCTTTTTCTTTTAACGATTTTAACGACATTTTCACTTCAATATTATTACAGGACTTATAAAATCCACTGCGCCAACTCTTCGGTGCTTTTTTGCCTGTTAAATTATGAATAATAATTTATAGCAAGATCTCCCATACATAAATTGTGAAAATTAAAATAAAAAAAAATTAAACATAATTAAAACAGAATACACGCGTAAAATATCACATTAATACAGCTGTGTTTTGTATGATAAAAGTAGAGAACCGAAGACCTTTTTACTAGTAACGAGGCATTCCTTCATAGCGCTCGGGAGTTGACAATGCATGTTCATATTGATTCTTGTTAGAGGATAGATGTCGGTGCATATGGGTCACAGTATCAACTTACCATAATGTAGACTGTGTGCTTGTTTATCGCCCTTATTCTATACAAATATATTTAAAAAGGTAATAAAAAATCAACTTCAAGTTAAAAATCAATTTCGCCCTATTTTGGCGTTATACTCTCGGTTGTGATAATGAATATTCTGAGCGTAGTTTAGGGTTACGACTGCAAGCATAAACAGCGATAATGGTTGCTAAAAATGATACCTGACTACCTCGCTACTCTTGTTTCGAGCTACTTTAGTACGGCATTAAATAAACCCTCGGTTACGATGAACGCAGTTACAAATTTCAACTAGACTTGTTAATGTAAATTTTACGTCATTTTATGGTGTTACTTTTGTAAGAGATACTATTTGGAGTTTGATTGTGCTAAATATTTTAGAATAACAAATTAACAAATTATTAAGAATTCAGTAGCGTGTAGTTGAAGAAATCGCTAAAATTTTGTGGAGCGATTTGACGGTCATATCATCCTAGTAGCGTGTGTACGTAAATGTGTTAGAACGAAACGTGAGATGCGTGAAGAAAATGTGGTTTTAGGTTCAGATTCCGGGTCAGGCCAAAATCAGTTATCTTTGAACCCATGCACTGCATTTCACTTTGTGACGAATTCAAATATTATTATATGAACGTCCGCATCCACCTCAACCTACTGACAAATGAGCACACAATCCACCAAATGATAAGTAGATACTGTGGCCATACACATCTATGTCTATTCTGAATTACGAATCAAAATACGTTGTCACACATGAACACTAAGATGGAATGGCTTGTTTTTAGTTAATATTATTTTAATTTTAGTAACTGCATTTACAACCTCAAATGTTGTTTTTTTAATAAAATTTTAAACCGACGTGCCAAAATCAATAAAGGAAACAAATAAATCATGCTAGTCAAATTATATTCATGACAACTATCAAAAATAATATAATAAGAAGAGATAGAGTGATAGAAAAGATTGAGTGAGTCCCCTTGGGACTGTATCTAACTATATAATATTATGTACATACGTGTATGTCCGTATCGCCCCCAAGTACTTTTATTTTTGTGCCTATGTGTCCAGACATTTATAACCTGACGTTTTGCTCATTAGATATTTGGCCGATGTCCTACTTGGACGTTTCGCTAATTGGACATATTTATCCTTACATTTCGCGCCGTTGGAGGTTTTTCTTAGGCTTTTTGATATACAAGTTTTGATATTTGCGTGGTAGAGCCACGCGGCAGCTTTTGCTGTCACGTGGATGGGCCGGCTCGAATGCGGGTGGTACCACGACCTCACAGAATACCAGCGTGAAGTAGAGGTTTACCTCTGCGTTTCGCTTGGTGAGTGCAGGTGGCCGGAGGCCCTTTTTACTGGAAATGAGACATTCCATCTTAGTCCTTACAGGTGACAACGCATCTGCATTTTGATTCGCAAACTAGGATATATGTAGATGCCTATGGGCCGCAGCAACCACTTACAATCAGGTGGACTGTGTGCTCGTTTGTCACCCTTATCCTATTAAAAAAAATAGCTATGTTATGGTTGTAGCACGTATCGATTCGCTCGATCAGGGTAGGACCACGCTCTCACAGAATACCAGCGTAAAATAGCAGCTAAATGCTTTTTTACGCTGGTATTATTTTATGTTTCGTATGGTGAGTGTAGAGAACTGGAGACCCTTTTTACTGGAAACGAGGCATTCTATCTTAGTCCGCAGGGGTCTGCATTTTGATTCGTAATCGACAATATATGTAGATGTCTATGGGCTACAGCATCCACTTATCTTCAGGTATACTGTGTGCTCGTTTATTACCCTTATTCTATAAGAAAGAAACGACCCAAAATACATGTGGTTCTCTGCATGTGTGCTTATAACTATCTACTGCCTAATATGTTTCTTCTTAAATGCGGAGTAATTTGCCATAACCGTATGCTTAGTAGGTGGCTGTGCGATTGCAGTACCACGCAGTAACCGTTACTATAACAGCCTATCAAAAGTCCACTGGTGAACATAGGCTTCCTACATAGATTGCCTTACAGGGAGATATTTTCCGTTATTGCTTCGCTTGGTGTTCAGCAAGCAGTATATTTTATATTAAGTCGTTAATAGGAATTCGTTGTTGCCCACGTCCTGGTTTATTTCCCTCTGCTGCCTTTCACGACACCCACGGGACGTGAGGTAATGGGTATTCTTACATGGCCACTACACAAAAAAATTTCTGGCATTTTTCAAAGCCACCGCTTACGTCTCCCACGAGTGATAAATAACGAAATGTGAAGATGGATTCTCTTCACTAAGAAATGGTATATTTTTTCATCGATTCATTACAGTCTATCAAAAGTCCAGTGCTAAACATCAGCCTCCACAATAAATTGCCTCATAGGGAAGATATTTACCATTCTTGATAGTTGAGCTTGGAACCGGTTATTGATTATATTGAGTTGTTGAGTGGTTATCAGGAAGATGCTGCTACCCATATTACGCCGCTGCGGTACTGCAAACGTTTATAAGTGTACGAATTGAATGATTATTCTTCATAAGTAGAAGTTCAAAGCTGGGCATTGGCCTCTCCCGTGGTAGTAGTTCGCCACACTTGGGAGACTTATTGGCAATCGTGTTTCAAAGACTGGCATATTTGAAGCTGTTGCCCGTCGCTTAATGACGTATAAGATAATGATGTATCTTATACGTCATTATTTTACCAGATATTTTGGGATCCATGAAATGATTCCAGCAATTCCCCATATTATGAAACCCACGGGACGAAATTGGGTAATGAAATTACTCATATCGCCACTACACTGCATATACACACACGTTACAAAAAATGTTAATTGTAAATTAAATTATTACGTTAACTTTGTTTGTAGAACATATTGTGTCCTTAATTTAGCAGTAAGTAATGGGATTCTCGGCGTGTTTCTACTAATGAATGAGCGTCGGCGATTGGCTCATGGGATTGATTGTATTACTGTCCAATTTACCTCTTAGCTGAATTTGTACAGGAATATGTATTGACATTTTGTGAAATACCTAAAAATATACATATTGTAAATATAGCTTAGATTTAAGACATTATTAATGTGAATAATTGCCTTTAATCCGATCTATGTAGTAGTTATTTAAGTTTTAGTCGTGTAAGTTTTAGAATTGTCTAGTACGTGAGCTTATTAATGTTTTTATTGCCGTTTTAACCATAGATTACATATCGTAAAAATAACGACGGCAAAATCAAGATTCCTAGAAAAAACGAAGTTCGCGTCATTCCTCCGTATCCCGCTTCAGTGTACTTTCCTAATTACGTCCGTCAGTGTGTCTCACACTCCAATAGCGGTCGTGTGTTATTTGTATGTTGAGTTACAGCAAGTGCGTCGTAAATTTTATGAAAGATTAATGTTTGCGTAAGTATTACTTACTTGTTTTTATGACTTTTTACAAAGGTTTTGTGTTGATTATAGCTAATTTAGTAAGATGAAGTGGCAGTGGGCCGGCCATTAGCTCGAAGAACCGATAACCGATGGGGAAGAAAGGTTCTCGAGTGGCAGCCTCGTATCCGTAGGCGAAGTGTAGGACGACCCCCCACGAGATGGAGTGACGACCTGGTAAGACATGCAGGAAGTCGATGGAGGCAGGCTCAGGACCGTGCTTTGTGGCATTCCTTGGGGGAGGCCTATGTTCAGCAGTGGACTTATGAAAGGCTGTAATGACGATGATGATAACTTATTTTGTTTTTATATGTACATACACAATATTATATATTGTTTTAGATGTCTCTAGTTGTTGGAGATGATTAAATTTGTCAGTTATTGTAGGCAGCTGTTCATGATGAAGATGACGATGAGAGCGCAAAGCAGCAAGAGACACTAAGTGAGTCAGCAGACGACTTAGAAATGTAAGAACATCAGCTGAACGATCGTGATAATAAATAATACACAATTACGCCTAGTTATAGTTGTGTAAGCGACACCGGCGTATAGAATCTGAGTTTTCACAATCTGAATATCATATGCACATTGAAAGTGATCAAAGTAGTCAACACAGATCGCATTATGGATCATATGGATCATATTGCGATCTGTGTTGACTACTTTAGGATTTTTATACCAGGAAAAAATTATTCGAGGCAAAAATGGATATAAATGGATCACGAAACCTAGACAGCTAAGAACGTAAGCTAAATATCATACGTTTTTTTGAGAGGTCTCAAGGTGAAGCACGTAATATCTTAAAACCGTGTAAAATGTCCTCTTCAATTATTAGCAACGAAAACTTGAATAAGAAACTTGACAATCAAATTAGTCCAAAATTGCAGTGCATTATCAAAGAGCTTATAAATTTTAGGTTTTTGTTGAAACTATTCCTAAAATTGCGCAAAAAAATACAAGAATCAAATTCTAGCAAAACAAGTGTTTTGTGCCCGTCTAAGGCTAGAAAAATGATATCTAACTTTTGCATGAAATGTAAGGCGTACAATATGAACATAAAAATGTATAATTCGTAAATTTATTCTTTTTTATTTGCATCTAGTATTTTTAACGAATGTTTTGTAACAACATCAATTGCAGCATAGTTTAGTAATCTAGGGTTAAAGAATTGTTGTATGTCTATAAAGTGTTGTTGTATACTTATGAAGTATTGTTGTATGCCTATAGTGAATTATTATATGTCTATAAAGTATGTGATAAATGTATGTTTGTAAAAATAAATGATTAATTACACTCAACACACACACCCCGCACTCCTCCCCTCTTATCCGCTCTTTGGTTGAATAAAGCATGTGTGTCTCGTATACGCCCGCACAAGCTGTGCCACTAAAGGCACAAAATAAGAGTCACGCTGTGGCGACCTCTGAAATTACTCGCTCAAGAGTCATCTCCTTATCACGTCACGCTGCCCTACAAATAACACTCCACAAAGCAGCCCTTGTTTCTAAACAATAGTGTTTTTTAACTTCCCAAGTACATTTATGGTTAAGAAGAAGTCTACAAGATTAAATTATAGAGCCCTGCTGATAAGGTCCTATTCTATTCTCCTACCTTATTGTTCTTTTGTGTTAATGCTATCTTATAAAATAATTTAAAATAAACCTTTACCACTTAACCAATTAACCTTAATAAATCCCACATCCACAGCAACTAGGCCGTTGCGCTGTTTCGTGTTTTCGGACTTCACATGTCCCCGAAATGTTTTACTTCAACTTCCACGTTTCTACAATACCTTTCACCCTCGCAAGAGATAAATTAGCACTTAAAATTGAAATTAACTATTTAATTTGTGCTGGCGATGATTGTACCAGGATTGCTTGTGCACTGTGAAAATTACAACAATTAGCATATTATAAGATTATGTTCAGTTTATAAGATTATTTTAAATATAAGGAAACCCACTAAGGTATAGGATATTCAATTAAAAGAAAGGCAGCTAAAGTTGCAGTTGTTGGGACTTTATAAAAAAAACACAGCCGCAGAGTAGCCAGCCCTTCGGTATTCAATAGGATGCCTTTTGGACATTATGCGCAGGAATTACATCCTTAATTACTCTCTCTCCTTTCCACTATCGGAAAACCAGGCGGTTGGTGGGCCTTCACCCATTTAATAATATTCCACGCATTAGAACCAAATGGTTTGCTTCGTCTTTTTTATAGGAAAGGGGGCAAACGAGCATGCGGCCCACCTGATGGTAAGTGACTACCGCCGCCCATGAAAAACTGCAACACCAGGGGAATTGCAGATGCGTTGTCTTTTCTTGAAGGTCCCTAAGTAGTATCGGTCCGGAAAAATTGCTAATGGTCATCGGTTCCACAAAGAAGTTGTGCGAAGAAGAAAACATTTTCTAAATCGCACAATAGTGGACCGCCAATCATCCAGATGGTTTGGATGGTATCACGAGTTTTGTAGTTGTGATCTGCTATGGTGAAATTGAGCGGCAGGAATTCCGATCCGAACAATTCCTCGGAGCCCATGGTAAATGCGATAAAATACGCAAAGAAATGCAACATCGCTTCGCAGTGCCAGTGAATTGAATCGATCGGAAAGGACTCGGTCGTCTACGATTCGAGCCGCTCTGCGCTCGATGCGTTC